CAGAGCATATTATTGTTAATTGCATGCATGCAAATCCAAATCAAGTGAAGCCCGTCCAGCATAAATGAACGCCGCCGGCGTATTTCAGTATGCGTGCAATTAGATTTGGTGACACGACTCGTGTGCGCATTCGCGGCATTAGCTTAATCACAAATGTCCATAAACCATTTGGGAGTGCAATTAGTACGACCCACAGATTACTAACCCTCATCAATTTTGCAAAATGAACGATCGCCTTTCACAAATGCTTTTGTGCAACTGTCATCTGCGCTGGAGTTTTAGACATCCCGCTGGTGTCGATCACACATCGAACACATGCACAGTGCGACCACAGCAGTTAGAGAATCTGGCTTCTGACAGACGAGATAGGAGCTGGTGACCAATTGTAAACTCTTACCAGGCAGTGGTATGCGATCACCGCTGCAGGGGTAGAAATTAACTTTCGTTGGATTCCCTACCCTCAAAAAGAGGGAGTCCGCAGCAAAATGAGGGAGTCTGCACTCTGAGGTTCAAAATTAAAGATATTAACAATAACGCATGTGCTTATTTTTAAGATTTTCTGCCAAATTTTCTTTGGACATTAGCTGAAATAATACAGTAATTCCGCGAAGCCGTGCTCCGGAACGAACTAGTTAGTATGGCAAAATTTTCAGGGAGTCACACGGACTCCTGCATATGTCAAATCAGGGAGTCCGACAGTAAATCAGGGAGTATTTGACTCCGGACTCCCGTTAATTTCGCACCCTGCCGCTGCCTAACCTCGCTCACCATTGGCGCTGTTGATATGCCTGTCAATATGAACTTGTACCCGTGTCTACACTAGGATAAATAACCAGGGTTATAACTTATGCGTCTACTCAAGGAAACGTACGTACTCCGGGTTACGCGTAAGAAAAATTAACTCAGGTTGTGTGTCTACGTGATGCAATCACCTCGGTTGTTATAAACCCTAAAAAAGGAGTAAAGTAAAAAAAAAAAGGTAAAGGAGGTCTGCACGTGTTTTTTTCGGACGATTGGTTGCTTCACTGTTTTGAACATATTATAACCGAATAATCAGGTTGGTTTTATCACGATCAAGGAATTCTTTCACCAATATAAACGATCGCGCTTTTGGCTTCAGTGAAACTGTGTGTGCGCGCGTGCGTGTACATGCGTGAGTGTGAGTATGTATGTGTGCGTGTAAGTATACGTGCGTGAGTAGTGCACGCTCGCGTGTGTGTGTGCCTGAATGTACGCATGTTTGAGAGTTTAAATGGTTTAAACTGAAGCGAACCGTGTAGTATAGACATTACCTGTCAAACACGAGTAGAGTCAATATATACTATATGCACTTGTTGGCAGGACTGTTTACAAATGTATACGTTAGTCTTTTGTCGTGTTGTCGAGGGCCTCAAACACTGTAAATACCACCCTGGCGCCAGTTTTACGAGATAACTGCATAGAACATAGGCCGCATAGCAAGCTGTCGCCGTAAAAGTATAACAACACACACAAACAGGCGATACGTTCGAATAGTAAGCAATCCTATCTACTTCTAAGCACTACGGGACACGATGGCGACCGTGGAAGCAGAAAGGAGAGAACGGGATAGAGAGACGAATGTTGGGCACGTGTATCGTACTTGTAGCGCTCGACTGAGTCCATACATCAATGCCTCGATCAGTGCTGCACTAGGGGAGCTGGAATCAACTCTGAACGCGAGCTGCTTATACACAAACATACACGACTCCGGACATCTTTGCTGCACGTGTGGACAAGAGAAGACACGATGTGAGCATCGGGAAAGATCAGCGGGAGTTCGTATCCAACAAAAGAAGGGGCGAGCACTGATATATTTACATAGAGAGACTCCACGGAATATATTTTGATATTCTGAAATATATGTCTTTGAATATGTGTGTGCGTTCGTACCTACGCACGTGCACGCATGCGCCATGCATGCGCGCGCAAGTTCCTGCAAATTATGTAAAGTAATACAAACGAATCACATGATATAATAAGTAACAAAATTACGCTACTCGTTCTTTCAACATTAAAATCCGTTCATACTAGACAAGGCAAGTGTTTTGCAACCGCGCAATGCAGCGGCTGAAACATCGCTGACCCTAAAACGATAGCCACACATGCAGAGTCGAGCTAGCCGCACTTTCACATATACAACTACTAGAAGCGTACCCCCAACTCTAGACGCCACTAATCACTGAGAGCAAGAAGCGACTAGCATAGCTCAGCGTTTCTTCTGATCGGACCCGTTGAAACACGGCTGACAATCTTCCCCATCCACATCGGGCTAATGACTCAGCCGCACATAGTCCAATATAGATCCGTCTAAATATAGTGCGGAATCGCGCTCGACGAAGCGCGCTTTGACAACAGGTCTTCTGTTGTGACTTGACCAATGTGCTCGCAACATGGGATCGAAAGGGCCGTCGCTGGGTAAACAAGCGCACAGCACTAAAGCTGCTGCGCGCACAAGCAGCCGAGTCAGATTGATGTCTATAAAGTGACGACGGAGCGGCGTAAATATGTTTATGGGCGAGCCATCCCGGCCCGACTCTGAGGGAATGCCTTACACTGACGCTGCTCATGATAAGCGCTGATTCTCGCGCCGATATGTTTTTTTCTTAGTTGCGGCATCTCGTGTGGTACAGATGACACGTGGCGCCTACGACACGTGCTGCGGAGCGGGAAGGAGGGAGGGAGGGGGGCAGTGCTGATGTAGTTCCCAGCCTTGATCTCTCCCACGTAGATTCTGTGAGGTGTAACCTTAGTGTAATGTTCGAATAGATATGTCCGCGGATAAAAAATCTACCGAGATTTTGCCCAAATTGATGCTCCCAAATCAAATACCTTTATACTATAGAACATTCTCTATGAATGTGTGATCATTACTTATGGATTGCTCCCATGAAATCTAAAAAACACAAGCAAATTGAGAAACTTGCCAACATCTTTCGAGTCAGGCAACTGACTGCTTCTGTCAGTGAATTTTCCATTTGTCGTCTGTCAGTCAATCTTGCGTCCATCCGTCCGCCCGTCCGTCAATGTGTCTGATGGATTTTCTCTCTATTTCGTAGGCTCGCCACCTTGCTCGCTATTTCTCGACCTCCGCATGATGACGGGCTGTCTGTACGTCTCTGCTACTTTCTCTTTTTCTCTCCTCCTCTCCCTTTCTCTTCCTCTATCGCTTTTTTCCATTTCTCTCGCTTGCTTTCTTTCTATCGCTTTCTCTCCCCTCTCTGTTTCACACACTCCCCTTCTCGGGAGTGAGAAATGGAGACATACTCTGTGTTTGTAGTAAGCGGTCTCTGCTTCGCTCTCCCCCTCTCCCCCCCCCCTCTCTCTCTCTCTCTCTTGATCTTTCACCTCTGTGATAGTTGATATCTTGAGTGTTAGCCGGCTTCAGTTAAGTAGCGCACAGGGCCAATAATACTTTGCTGGGGACATTCCTTCCAAATTGGTTAAAGGCAGCAGGGTTGGGCCAGTTTGTTTCGATTCGGCACGGCCTCTAGAAACACACTGGCGCACGTGCTAATGTTTACGTCTCCCAGTAACTAGTGTGCTAGAAGATGACCAGAATTATCCGAATTCGGTAAGAATAATAAACGCCCGTTTTCAGAAAAACGATGAAAGCCTCATGCGGAAAAGATTTGTTTTCACGCACGCGTAATGGATATCCGATGCGAGCCACTGAGAAAGTTGATTTTAGACCAGCGCAAACTTTACGGGAGCCCTAGTTGTAAGTTGACCTTATCAGTTTTAAGACTTCTAATCAAATTCAAGTGCTTAATACGTAGCAGTAATGGTACGTGACCACTATAAATTTACAAGACACGTGCTTGGAGTAATTGTAGAAAGGCATATATATCTGTATTTGCTCATATCATATAACCCAATAATGTCATTTTCCTGCCCATCAATCACTAAAACAAGCACGTGATGATGATTAAACCTTTAGGATATGGGAAGCTGTTTCCTGGCTGAATCTAGTTTTACAGCTTGATCGTGTTTTACGCAACCGTAACAGTAATTAGCCTACGTCAAGCAGCCGGAAAATCTCAAGAAATCACAACAGATGTCTGACAACTGACACATGCATGCATGGGGGGCACGCACGCACGCATACGTGCGCACGTACACCCTGGACGCACGTACACACGCACGCATACACACCAGGGTTAGCCACCTAACGATGGCCTTGTTCTTGAGAGTGGGACTATTTTGTAAACACGCTCATAGCGGTATGTCAACACGGATATATGATATGAGAGTGGTTTTCGGAAGTAGATAGCTAATCTGGTTTATAGAGGAGACAGCCTACGTTTTATATCAGTCTCTTTTGTCGAGTATCTGTACACAAAGTTACCACTGAATAATACATGCGATGCATGTGAGTAGTAATAAATTCCATTACCTAATCCTTCAGTATAAGTAAAGTATATGCACTTTTTAAGTCAACATACCACTCATAGACGTGACATAGTAATGATAAGTAGGGCAGTGGATTTTCTTATACATTAGTGGCTGACTACTATAGCTTGTCGCTCAGGTCTCTGCTCGAACTTTAAAACACAATGGTGAGTGGGCCTGAATGTAACACATACTAGAGCTTCCTTAATAGAAATTACGACATGTAAATCTTGATTTTCTTTACCATAATTTGGCCGTAATTCAAATTCCTCTTTCCTACAAAGCTTTCACGTATGTTACACTCGGTTAGTGGGTATGCTTTATGTAAAAGATTTTAGTACTTTTAATATCTACTTAACCAATCAAAGAATGAAGTCTGGCTACCATTTGTTTTTGTTTTTCAAATACACCCCCTCAACCACTTTCCTTGAAATTATGCAGCCCTAGACATTTTTTAACTGAAACTAAGTGCAGTATTTATACATATAGTCTACCTTTGTATAACCAACCTGCATTATTCACCCCCACCCCCACCCCCACCCACACATGTCGCCAGGCTACATTCAATGCTTAGATGAAAGCCACCCTACCTTTGTTACTGCGCCGATCTTTTGCTGGTAGGCCTTCGAGTAGAGCATCATCAGGCGCAGCGCTTGCTTTTTCAGCTCGACCAGTCGCGCGTTGCAGGCTTCACAGCACACCCCGCCCGCAGGCTGCGTGAGGCCTGCGGTCTGCAGGGCGGCGGTCCTGGTGGGTCGCGGGGTAGGGGCAGCTCCCTCCGCTGCACTGGTCGTCTGCCCACTGCTTGACAACCAGTTTGGCTCCGTGTCACAGACTGCATGCTCCTCGCGGCGGATCTAGGAAAACAGATGCACCATCACTATAATATATAAATATAATATATATTATGATATATCACTTATAGTATAAGAACCCGATGAATGATGTAGAAGCAGTAGAAAGGTCGAAGGGTCGATGTCGTATAGGGTACTACATATATGTACCCGAGGTAACTATCTGATATGGTTAGGGTTAGGGAGTAGGCGTAGGCGTAGGTGACATATATGTACCTGAGGTAACTATCTGATATGGTTAGGGTTAGGGTTAGGGTTAGGGTTAGGGTTAGGGTCACTTATACGTATAGTATTGTACCCTATACGACAACGACCCCTTCAGCCCTAGTGATGAATTGCGTTCATGTTCTCATCGGTACACACATTTGTTTAGATAAACACTCATATCGGCGATATCAGTGATGTGTCAAGAAGCAAATATTTGATCAGTAATTCCTGTAATGTATTCCGTAGTCATGAAAACTACGCATGTACATGACTCACCGTTATAACCAACCCGGGGCAAACTTACGCTGAGAGGGTCTACGTCCCCCAGGGTACTGCCGGAACGTAACCTGGGTACGGTCCGGTATACCGGAACGTACCCTGGTACTATCTAATATGCCGGACCGTACCTCGCCTACTCCACTAACGAGTCTAGGGAGTCGCATACACCTACTCCCTAACCCTAACCCTAACCATATCAGATAGTTACCAGGGTGCGTTCCGGTATACCGGGTCAACGTACCCAGGGTACGTTCCGGCAGTACCCTGGGGGACATAGACCCTATGATCCAAACTTACCAGGGAAGAATTGTGACAGAAAAATATATCTATAGGCTTCACCAGAGCATATAAATCAGGTGATCTATATGCTCTGGCTTCACCCAGACAATTAAATAGAAAACATAAATTTAAAAAAATGCCAAAACAATCTGTTGAAAACAATTGACGGTTCGTTGTCAGAAACAAAATTAGTCTTAACATTAGTCTTAAGTTTAACAATAACTTCGACTCGTAGATCGTCACGTCGAACGTCGTAAATCCTTGTAAATTTCCTTGTAAATATCCTTGTAAATTTCCTTGTAAATTTCCTTGTAATTTCCTTGTAAATATCCTTTTAAAATCCTTGTAAATTTCCTTATATTTATAATTACGAGATCCTAGACCCTCTAGTACTTGATTAAGAAGAAAATAACGCATTACCACAAAGAACTGCAATTATAGTAATATTATATTTTATATTAATTAGTAAAACACGCGTATTTCATGGAAAACACGTCAGAAACACTACTTATCTACCGATCGTATGACAACACAAAGTTAAAAATGTATACAAGTGGCGTATTGTTCTCTTGTTTGGGATATTTTGATGAGTCATGACCATAGATATCATATAACAACGTTGTTATATGATATCTATGGTCATGACGCTCGCGTCTCGTTTTGCTGTGGAGAATAAATTCAAGAGTGTCGTTTTTTTCATCAGATATTATTTATATGTGATTAACAATCATAATATGCATAAATTGCTGTGACGTACAATAAATGTGTATGCATTTGAGTTTTGTGATCGACTCTCATCCAATCTTAGCATTAACATTAGCGTTAACTTTACGATGTTTCTGACAACGGCTCCCAGGCTTTGCCCAGGCTATAACAAAATCTATAAGCATAGAGAATTATTTCACGAGTGTTTCCAACAGTCCCATGGGCATAGGCTACCATCGATCTATTTTGCCAACATAACAAGCCAACAGGAGAGCATTAACTTGCACTGTTGCGCGTTCGCTGCTCGCTGTGTGCCTACCTGTGACGGTGTGTTTCTAATTCCTGCGGTTACTTCCAGAGAAGCTCCTCCCGTCAAGATGTCATCACTTCTGCCGCGGTTCGCCAACGACATTCTGACTCCAGGTCGCCAGCTCGATGCTATTTCGCTGCCCCTACTGAATAAAATCCACGTTGATCTGTCACGTCGGATAGTCGCGTACGTCGACGGGCATGCAGCTTCTCCGGTCATCACCACGGGAATTATACCTGTTAGTTACTGTTGGACTTCATACTGTTCATACAACCCCGTGACGTGCGTGCTTACAATGTACACAAATGAAAACGCGTGTTGTCTGTTGAAAGGTGCGCGGCGAATTGATTAAAGTTGCGGTGCGACACGCGCCGTTAATCTGCCGTGAAAATATCATGCAAATATTGAGACGAGTACATTGGGGCTTCACCTATATAGCTATTCACGGCTATATATTTCACCTATATAGCGAGCAAGTAATGTCGCGTAGAAACGGAATAAAACATCCGACCAAAAGTAAAACGGCTGCTACAACTCGAACGATACGACTCTCACCGAACGACCGCGCCAACTCATGTACGATAAGCGCATATATATATATATATATATATATATATATATATATATATATATATATATATACATGAATACGGAAACAAACTATGCAAGATTCTATCGAGAAATCTACGCTACCGAACCAAATCCAGCCGGTCGTATGTGAAACGCAAGCACACCGCGTGCCACGCGCGGCTCGAGTGACCGACCGACCAGATGCGATTGCACCCAGCCAAGCGCGGCCCGCTGCAGCGGCAACTATCAAACGATTCGTGGCCACGCGCGGGGGTGACAGGGTGATAACGGCACCTCGAGTGCTAGCGGCAAAACATTACGTGTACGTACGCTCTCCTGTCGTCTCGCAGCCAAGGCTACAGCTTCTACTTGCTTTCGAGGACGTCATCATTATCTGTACTCCGTGTCGTTGGCCGCAGAGGTTAATTTGATCGAAAGCGAAACGGCGGTAATTACGCTCCCAGATGATACCGATCTCTGCCGCCACCGCCATTATTGATTTTAGTGTTATCATTTCCCCGCGAGAAATTAACTAGCAGCCGCATCAAAATTTACATATGCAAAATCGCATCGCATCGACAGCTCAAGAAAACCAAATAGGCGAGCAGCTGCTTTATTTGAATGCATAATTATTGCCGACCCACGCACTGCGAATCTACCGAGCTCTGCCTGCCACCACGTAGACCTATATGTGGCGGCGATACGTACGTACCCATCTCGTCTGCTCAGCCTGTCGGCACTTTGCGCCGATTTCGTGCAGCTCCCTCCATGGTCCAGCCTGTATTTGCGCACTACTCTTCCTCGCGGTGATTTTTATCCGTCGACGCACGCAGCATCCGTCTTGGCCCTCGCCCTCCGTGATTGGGCTTCTCGTAATGAGGACCAGCCGACACATGTACGGCCGGAGGCGCCACATGTGTCGGCTACCCCGCTATTCTAGAGAGTTTAACTCCGACGCACACGCCGTATCAAGATGTGAGGGCAGACAGGTTTCCCACCGACGGCTGCAGCGCACGCGTTTCGTATAACAACGCGAGAGATGCGTCACTCAAAATTGAGGTTGCGCCGTGCGATAAAAAATAAGCACGAGAATATGCAGAGCGGCCGCTCTTTATGACTAATATATAGCTATACACTACTGTTATATCCAGCCCGCGTGTCACGTAATTGTGCTTGTCGCTAAAATTTAATTATTATGAGTGGCATCCAAAGGAAGTTATCAGACAGTAGCCCAAGTTTGCATAACAATCCTGCCGGCATTAGCTGTTTTCGAAAACAGCAAGAATTCCTGGTTTCTGCAACTAAGCAAACACAATAAGCAACTATTATTTACTAGTGAAATATTTGTCTATAGACAGCGTTACAAAATGCTGTTATTATTTGCCATCATGAATATGCTATTAATTATATGATGGCCGTCCCTACTGCAAGCATACTAATTTGTAGGGCTGTTGCGATACAGTATCGTGTCGTAGCAATCAGTACAACAAATACAATAAATACATGTATACTGTATTTCACATCGATTATATCAAATATAAAAAGGTTTATTGCGTTTTTTGAGAAATATACTGACTATACTAAAATAATAAACCAGTAAATAATATATGTGATCATTATTGCAATATTATAATTCGCAATATAATTTATTTCAGACATCTTTTTATTGAATAATTAGTTAACTAATACTACATAATCGTCTATTTGTCAATATTACAAAATTATCATTCAATTGTTATCTAATACCAATCAATCGTACAGTGATAAATATTGCAAAATTTTATAGTAACTACAGCTATATATAAAATTCCAATATAAGATTCCAACAAGCACAATCAACAACATATTACATGAAATACTGAACATCGAATAAATTTATGACAAGATTAAAACAGTAATAACAACAAAGTTGATTGTAGATGCCATACGTGTCTTTACTCTTTAGTGTAGGCAATCATAACGTGCAACACTATATGAAGCCATGTTAGTATGACTAAAATTTCACTATGAAGACCATATCAGTGTAAACGCGATGTTAGTGAACAGCATTCACCAGAGATCAGCGTCGTGCTACGACCACCATCTTATTGCGAGGACCATCTGAGTATTTACACCATCATAAAATCAAAAACAACTCAGAATGAACAACATTTCAGCAGGCACACAGCACCAATGCGTGGTCTGTCTCGCTATGACCACCACCTTAGCATGAACACCACCTCAGCATAAACACCACCTCACTATGAACATCATCTTATCATGAACACCCCGTCACCGTGGACACTATAGCATCATGCAAACCAACTCCGTGTGAATACCATCTCACTATGAGCACCTCCTCAGCATGAACACACACTCAGCATGAATACCATATCACTGTGAGCACCACCTCAGCATGAGCATTGATCACCTGGGCATTAACACCACCACATTCAGGTAGCAGCACACCACGGTATGTATGGTACGGTACGTGTGTCTACAAATCTGCGGCCATTCGATATTTATTTACGATTTCTGTAAATACATTCTTGGCGTGTGTCTATATCCTCTCTTCAGCTCTCTTCATCATGCCCTGTGGATCGAACGTGCGTCCAGAACCATTCTCTGTAAACACCTTCTTGGCGTGTATCTATGCCTACTCTTCAGCTCATTTTACTGTGCCACGCGAGTCCAATGTGCGCCCAGACACGTTCTCCGTAAATACCCTCTTGGCATTTTCTTCGAAGCCTCGCTCAATTGTGGAGAAGTCAACGGCGTCGGAACCGTACCTCTTCCGTCGCTCCTCCAGCCACTCCGTCGTGTACGCACGATTGGGATAGTTCCTCATCCGGCTCGGCAGCGTGAAGGTGATGTCCTCCTGACATCGGTCGAGGGCGGCAGATAGCCTAGAGAGCGGCGTGGAGGTAGGTCTAGACGGTGGTGTGCTGGCCGCTCGCCGGACCGGAGGAGACGTAGCCCCGGATGCCGACTTCTTTCTTCTGTCACCTTGACGACCGGATGCCTTCTGCCATGTTCGAAAATGAATCATTCAATGGCATTTAGTACCAACGTCTGTGTGCCATAGTTTCGTGAATAAATTCACAAATGCAAGTGTTAAAAACAGATTCAGAAAAACATAACTTAAATAGCACACAGGGTTCTTCCCATGTCTTTAATGCATGTCGGGGCTGACATGCCTTCAAAGCTGAAGCTATTTTGCAACATCTATTAAAACGTTCAACATTATTTAATTTCCAGCTGTGTACTTTTGACAATCCCAAAACAGTCCTGTTGTGTTTTCACAGCTTGAAGTATACGTCTGTGATCTGATCGGCTTTACCTGTGTATTGGCGCCACTTATCACACGAGTAATTGACTCCAATTGGTACAACCCCCTCCCTTGCCCTCCCCTATCCATTCATAAACGACATAGGTTCTGAAATCCCTGGGGAGAATACCAGCACACATACAAACCTTTGTTTCAAGCGAGTCTGGCCCCGACAGTTCAGAAGGCACTACATCTTTAGCTGGCGTACTTTTTGATCGCTGAACTCCCTTTGGATTAGCTGTGCTTTTTCCTTTACCTTTGCTTTTCCCACTTTTGCCCTTGGAGCCATTATTGAGCAGTTCAGGACTGCACAGAGACTCAATGAATGCCACCACGTCTGGCATAGCCCATTCTCTGGCTACATCCACAGCCATGAGACCTATGCAATACAGGAAATGGTCGCTAGATGAAAATAATTGACATAAGATTGGTAAAATACCATTGGAATCCACACTCCTGAATACCTTTCTATTGTATATCCATAATGACATCATAAATTTTACAGTCACATGCACGTGAAGCATATGAAATACAAAATAATTGGCCTGCTAATAAGTGCACTGAATTTTAGATAACAAAATTTTTCCAAAAAGGTGACACAGAAATTAAGAGCCACAAAACTGCTGGGTAAAAGCACCTTTTTTATTTTCGTAGTGCAACTGTGCTCCCTTGAGAATAAGGAAGTTGATAACATCAATCTTTGACGTCTGTATAGCTCTCATCAGTGGAGTTGCACCATAAAGAGACTGTGAATTAACGTTGGCTCCTGTAACATAATATGCACAGTTAATTTCCACAGTTAGCTCACTGTCGCGAGTCCCTTCCAAAATATACCTAACCACATACATCACAATAAATAGAAATCATTTCAAGGATGGCACGTGAAATTACAGCCATCCAAATATGAATGCACATGTACATGTAAATTATGACCACTAATTTTTGAACTTTATCAAAGTAAATAGAATCAAACAAAACATACCGTATTGTATCAACAGCTTTACAATTGGAAAGCTTCCACTATAGCAAGCATGGTGCAATGCAGTCCATTTTAAGTTGTCGAGCGCATTCACATCGGCTCTAAAAACATGAACAAATACACTTTCTACTGTCAAAGTAAATACTTAGAAGTCAAATAAAGACATATATGCATATTTTAATTAAACTTCTCTCTGCACCTGTTGCATTACATTTTTTTTTGCAAAAGTCACCACAACATGCACCACATGTTTAATATGATCTCACAAGCGTGTAGGTGTTCGCACACACAAAATGTGAACATTCCACCCAAAACACTCACCCATGTTGCAGGAGAAACTCAGCTGCTTCAATATTCCCATCAGCACATGCAGAAATTAGAGGCGTCCTGTAGTATTTATCCTGGACGTTAACTGTCGCATGGTTACATTCAAATGCGTCCAGCATTGACTCAAAATCTTTTGCTCTTGCAGCCTCACTCAGGCTTATGTAAGTCTTCCGTGGTTTTTCCTCGTACCACATCGAATCATCCTGGATTGGATTTTCTGGCCACGTCTCATTGTCCAATCTGTAGTTTACATAAAATGGAATAAATTAATAAACAATTGTAATTGTCATAACTGCAAGCTTGACTAGAGATTAGACTAGTAGCAATTAATAGATGTAACTGTGCAACCAGTGTTGAACAGGCCAAAGCAAAGCAAAATCCCACACGAGCTTGTACAAATTCAGGAATCCAGAATTAAAAATAACCAGTGTGCTACCTGCTAGCCTGGATGAATGGTGTGTATTTGGGTATCATGTTCTGTGGCACACCAGCATGAGCTATCAGAGGCATATCAGTATTCACACAGATTGGTACTGTGTTGGCATTGTGTTTTGACTTGCCACTAGCTCGTCCTTTCTTTGCTCCTTTAGCCTTCTTTGTGCCCTTCTTCTTCTTCTCTTTGTTTATCAGGTGTGCCCTGTATTGTTTTGGCACATAGGTTCCCTTGAGAAATTCGACGTAGTTGAGAGTCCCGTCGCCATTTTTGTCATGCAGATCGCTGATGCGCGCCTTTCCGGTGTCATCAACCGGTGCCGCAAAAACTTCCAAACATGTCCAGAATGTATCGGCAGGCAACCGCTTTGTCTTCTCTGAATCTTGGAGCTGAAATTCATCGACGAGTTTCTCTGCAAATGTGCAGGACCAGTCATACAGACGTACTGCCTCTGGCTCCCCAAACGTTGCTCCAACCATCTTTTGGCTCGGAACTCTGCTCGGCAACTTCTCAGCCCTCCGCAACTCCTTGGAGGTGCTCGTCCAGCCCATCTCTTTAGCGAGAATTTTTGCCACGAGTCCATCATTGTTTTTCGTTTTTGCTTCACAGCCTGTGTGGTAAATCGTGTTCAATCACATTGCTAGCGCATGGAAATTTCTGTTACTCTTGCTGCGTATATAGAATCATTTTTACAGCTGCATTTCTACATAGCAGATAAAAGAGTGGGTATCGACCCATAAAGTGCTGATGTCTAATAAATATGTGTAAAACAATACAACAGGGAAGATCATTGCCAATACAGAAGAATTTACCTCTCAGTGACAGAAACTTGCATATTTTTGTTGATCCACTTCTTGCAGCCATGTGTAGAGGTGTGTCGCCTGTGCTGCACGGTATATTGAAATTTGCTCCGTATGCTGACAGGTAAATGAGTGCTTCCAAGTAGCCAACCTCTGCTGCCCAGTGAGCTGGTGTGATGCCCATATAGTTTGCATTATTGGGGTTGGCTCCTCGTTCAAGTAGGGTGAGTAGCAGTGCTCCTGCCTTACTGCTACATGCAGCAAGAAGAGGGGTCTTCCCAGTCTTAGAGATAAACAGAAAAATGAACTTTATCGTATTGGTTTCTTATCTGAAATTCACTGCAGAATTTTTACACAGAAATGTCAATTTGATCCAGATACACTGAATAGTTATTACAGTATTTGTTTACAGAAAGCTAACGCATAATTTTAGGAGTAGGCCATGTTTCACACACATAATATAGCAGATAAGGTCTATGTCCCCCTGACCTCTGTTTGACCTGGCTGTTGAACCCTGATATATATATAGGGTTAGGATTAGGGTTAGTCAGAAATAGCTAAACGAGCCAGGTCAAACAGAGGTCAGGGGGACATAGACCCTACGAGCCATAATATAACCTCGTACATGTAAAAACTAATTAAAACTTTGAAAAAAACACAATGAAAACGTGTTATTGGGAAATATTTTGGCATGATATTAAAGGGTTGACCAGTGTGGTTCCACAAACAAAGATTCATTTGAGAGTGGCCTTACATATCGCAATTAAAATACCTTATCAGTGACTTGCAAGCTAGCACCAGCCTGCAGCATGGCAAGGCACACCTCTTCCATGTCTGGACCACCTTCAGCAGCCATAATTAAGGCCGATCTCCCTTGCTCATCAGTAACATTTGGATCAGCACCCCAACTTAGAATTATATTCAGACACTCCACATGCCTCCTAGTTGATGTCAGACAGTAGAATACGATTGCTGAAAAATAGATATATCAATTAGATTACACACACATTACAGTGATAAAATTTGGTTTACCTTGAGAAGTTTAGGTTAGATTTTTAAGGTCTAATTTTCTAGGTAAGGCAATATAAGGTAAGTGTGTGCCTGTGTGTGTCTGTGTGTGTGTGCCTATCTACAATTGTATCAAGCGTGTCTATACCATTGTATAGATATGTTTACAATTTTATGCATAAAACCCAGATTGTTGATATATTGTTACTCACTTCTTCCATCAGAATCTTTAATATTCATTTCTGCCCCTGCTTCTAGTAAGATGAGAAGCATTTGCACATGACCATATTCCGCTGCTCTCATAGCAGGAGTTCTCATCTTTGTATCAACAACATTTGTATCTGCCCCGAGTCGCAACAACAAACTGGAAATCGGCAAAAAAACAGGAAAAATGTATCGATTACAAAATACATCCCAACGTCAACACATTTATTGACTAATTGTGAGAATCATCAATAAAAACAAACTAGCAGCATCCATACTTTACCACATTACAGTTAAACGTTTTCTGAGAATGAGGTAGTGTCTGACCTGGCCGATTCGTCGTCGTTGTTTATTGCAGCCCAGTGAAGGGGTGTTTCTCCTGTTTCTGGACTTCCAAAATTTATAATGTTGGGTAAGGCTTTACCTACGAGATTCTCAACCTACAAAACAATAGATTAACATTGCTATCATTCATTTCTACCAAATTTATTGCAGGTTTCATAAATCACATATATATATGTTAATATTTAAAATTACTACATGAAATGTAAACCGACCAGGCTCTCCGACTGTTACACGTCGTAGGCCAACGTAGTGTTAAGCGAGAAGGAAACTTGTGGCTACATGAAATGATACATATAAGTTAACACTTGGCCATTCCTGCAATCATTTTGGGCAGATCCAAAAATGCTGGGGAAGGGGTCTGCTGGTGAATGCAGGGCGTTGGGGCATTAGGGGGTGGACCAATAAAGTTATTTCTAGTAACAAGTGCCGCAGAGCGACAGCGCTCAATTGACGTGTACTGTAGCCGGGTATTCTTCTGATAAACTCACTGGCAACCGAATCAAGTGCGCCCTCCTGCCACCGCATTGATAGGCTTTGCTATACCGGTAGTACAGTAATAAAGATATAGCTGTGTAACTTTAATGACTTCGCTATATTAACATTATCATGGTATGCGTCGAGCGCAAGCGTAGTGGTGGTGGTGGGAGGGGGGGGCGAATGAAGGGGGCTCTAATAGCCAAAGCAGTTCAGTCCTTTGTTAACAGTCAACAAATCCATGTTTAACC